CACTATAGAAGTAGGATTGCCCAACCTTCCTTCCAAGGAGTGGCTGGTGGGTTTGAACCGCCAGCCTTCTGGTGAGCAGTCAAGTGCTTTAGGCACTATGCTACCAGAGTTCCTATATATATATATATAAAACCAAGTGCGATTCATATGAGATACACAAGGATGATTTAACAATAGAAAATCAATCAATGTAATTCACCACATAAATAAGACAAAAGAATCACATAATCATCTCAATCAACACAGAAAAAGCATTTGATATAAAGTCCAACCCCCATCCCTGTCAAAAACTCTTAAGCAAACAGGAATAGATGAGAAATTCCGCAATATAATAAATGGCATTTATACAAAACCAACAGCCAATGCCATCCTCAACAGAAAGAGACTGAAAGCATTCTCCTTGAGAACGGGAATCAGACAAGGATGCCACTCTTATTTAATATTGTACTGGGAGTCCTAGCTAGAGCAATAAGGCAAGAAAAGGAAATAAAGAACATACAAAAATCAGTTGAATTCCTCTAAACTAATGAAGTGAATTTAAAAAACTATTAGGAAAATAATACCAATTAGAATAACCCCTTCAAAGGTAAAATACTTAAGAATAAATCTAACCAGGGATATAAAAGACATATGCAAAGAAAACCTCAGAACACTATGCAAGAAAATAAAAGAGACCTACATAAATGAAAAAACATACATGCTCATGAATAGAAAGACTGAATATTGTGAAAATGTCCATACTGCCCAAAGTGATCTATAGATATAATTCAGTCTTGATCCAAATTCCAACAACATTCTATAATGAGATGGAAAAATTAGTTACCAACTTTGGCTTTTGACTAATGGAAAGGAAAGGGGCCCTGGATAAGCAAGACACTACTTAGGAAGGAGAACAAAGTAGGAGATCTCACACTCTCTAATCTGAAAACCTACTATAGGGCCACACTAGTCAAAACATTGTACTAGTACTGGTACTAGTATTGGTACAATGACAGACACATGGATCAGTGGAGCAGAATTGAGAACCCAGATGTACATCCATCCACCTACGGACAGCTGATCTTCAACAAAGGGCCGAAGTCCATTAAATGGAGGAGAGACAGTCTCTTTAACAAATGGTGCAAGCAATACTGGATGTTTAACTGTAGAAAAATGAAACAGGACAAATACCACACCATACATAGAAACTAACTCCAAATGGATCAAAAATCTGAATATGAAACCTAAAACTATAAAGAAAGGAAGATAGGACAATCTACTTCTGTAGTGATACCACCTCAGGAACCCAAGGAGGGGTTGCTATGAGTAGGATCTGACTGGAAGACAGTGAGGTTTTTTTTTTTTTTTTTTTTCCTGGAAATCTAGAAAGATCATCGACAGAAAAATAGGGACAATACAGTTGTTGTTGTCAGGTGCCTTCGAGTCAGTTCCAACTCATAGTGACCCTATGTACAACAGAATGAAATACTGCTTGGTCCTGTGCCAGACACACAATACTTGCTATACCTGAGCCCTTTGTTGCAGTCACTGTGCCAATCCATCTTGTTGAGGGCCTTCCCCTTTTTGATTTACCCTCCACATGACCAAGTGTGATATCCTTCTTCAGGGAATGGTCCCTTCTGATGACATGACCAAAGTGGGAGAGACGAAGTCTGGCCATTCTTGCTTCCAAGGAGCATTCAGGCTGCACTTCTTCCAAGACAGATCTGTTAGTTCTTCTGGCAGTCCAGAAGAATTTATGGACTTTCAGTATTTTTCACCAGCACCACAACTCAAAAGCATCAACCTTTCTTATTCATTGTCCAGCTTTCACATGCACATGAGGCAATTGAAGCTACTATGGCTTGGGTTAGGCACACCTTAGTCTTCAAAGAGACATCTTTGCTCTTCAGCACTTTAAAGAGGTCTTTTGCAGAAGTATGCCCAGAGCAATACATCATCTGATTTACTGACTGATGCTTCCATCGATGCTGATTGTGACACCAATATGAAATCTTTGACAACTTCAATCTTTTCTCCATTTATAACAATGCTACTTATTGGTCCAGTTATGAAGATTTTCATTTTTTTTTTTTTATGTTGAGGTGTAATCCATACTACAGACTGTATTCTTTAACCTTCACCAGTAAGTGCTTTAAGTCATCTTTGCTTTCAGCAAGCAAAATTGTGTCATCTGCATATCGCAGGTTGTTAATGAGTCTTCCTTCAATCCTGATGCTGTGTTCTTCTTCATATAGTCCAGCTTCTCAGAGTATTCGCTCAGCATACAGATTGAATAAGTATGGTAAAAGGATACAACCCTGACACACTCCCTTCCTGATTTTAAGCCATGTAGTATCCCCTTAGGAGCTCTGGTATCATATTGCCTAAGGGATTTGACTGATAACCAGAAAGCTGGTTGTTCAAACCTACTAGCCACTCCTTGGAAGGAAGATTGAGCAATCTACTTCCGTAGTGATACCGCCTCGGAAACCCAAGGTGGGGTCGCTATGAGTTGGATCGAACTCAACAGCAGTGAGTTTGTTTTTTTTTGGTTTTAGTATCCCCTTGTTCTGTTTGAATGACAGCCCCCTGGTCTATGTACAGGTTCCTCTTGAGCACAATTAAATGTTCTGAAATTCCCATTCTTTCAATGTTACCCATAATTTGTTGTGATCCACACAGTCAAATGCTTTTGCATAATCAATAATACACAAGTAAACATCTCTCTGGTATTCTTTGCTTTCAGCCAACATACATCTGACATCAGTAATGATGTCCCTCATTCTGTCCTCTTCTGAATCCAGCCTTCATTTCTGGGAGTTCTCTGTCAGTATACTGCTGCAACTGTTTTTGAATTATCTTCAAAAAGCTTTTATTTGTATGTGATATTAATGATATTTTTCAATAATTTCCACATTCTGTGGGATCACCTTTCTTTGTAATGGGCACAAATATGGATCTCTTCCAGTTGGCCTGGTAGCTGTCTTCCAAATTTCTTAGCATAGACAAGTAAGTGCCTGTAGCACAGCATTCATTTGTTGAAACATTTCAATGGTATTCTGTCAATTCCTGGGCCCTTGTTTTTCTGCCATTCCTTCACTTCAGCTTCAACTTCTTTCTTCAATACCACCATTCATCTGTCAGTTTGTCATATTGTGGTGGCTTGAATGTGGCTGTCAGGCTGAAGGCTATGCCACCAGTATTTCAAATACCAGTAGGTTCACCAATGGTAGACAGGTTTCAGCAGACCTTCCAAACTAAGACAGACCTGGAAGAAGGAAGGGGCCATCCACTTCTCAAAGAATTGGCTGGTGAAAACATTATGAATAGCAGTGATACACCATCTGATATATTATTTTATGAATATCCCTGAAACATTTTCAGATACAGTGCTGGGAGATGAGCCCCTCAGGTCAGAAGGTACTCAAAATACATCTGAGGAAGAGCTGCCTGCTCAATGTAGAGTAGATCTTAATGATATGGATGGAATAAAGCTTTTGGAACCTCCATTTGCTGATGTGGCATGAGTCAAAATAGAGCTGCAAACATCCATTAATAATTGAAACATGAAATGTATGAAGTATGAATCTAGGAAATTTGGAGTTGTCAAAAATGAAATGGAACACATGAAGATTGATATCCTAGGCATTAGTGAGGTAAAATGGCCTGATTTTGTCTATTTTGAAT